ATGTTAGTAGCCTTTGGATCATTGTTGAATACACCAAAGTGCTCACCAAATGTACACTTGAACACTGTCTTTGGGGAAAGTGATCCTGGAGACTTGTCTTTCTTTGCAGGCTCAGTAGTAGGTTCACCTCTAATAACAATGTTGCTTTCTATCATGATGTTACTAGTGAAGCTGTATGTTCCTGCAGGATAATATATCACACCTCCTCCTCCACTGACAGCTGCCTTTTGAGCATCTTCAAAGGAGCCATGATAATCCTTGATGTTATAGACACAACTCCAATTGACAATGCTGTTGGCCCAAGTGTATGTGAGGTTACCATATAAAGCAGCTACTGGGTCATCTTTAGGGCCACTAGAAGAACTGCCACAAGTAGTGGGCCTGGGAGGAGAGTGAGAGAGAACTGAGCAAAAGAGCAGTAACACTATCACAGAAGCAACAGTGATCATTTTGTGCTTCATTTTTACAGGTCAGCAGCCCCACCCATCCATAAATGAGCCGCCCACGCATTCACATTCGCTTTAAAATTCTACAAAAAATATAATTTCAGCATATAAACCATAAATAAATTAATAAATACACAGCAATTGTGAAGCAAGAAATAGAATAACATAAGCAATATATACTATGAGTCAAGGACTTTGATAGGATCAACTTTAAGCCTCTCAGCCAGTTCATTCTTTAAAAAGAGAGAGAAAGAGAGAAAAAAAAACAATAAAATTAATAAAAATGGAAAAAATTAGTAATAATGGTTCTTTGCTGTAGTTAAATATGTTGTGTTGTTTAATGAAGTAAATACTCACTAGTGAACTGATCATGTTCTTATGGTAAGTGATGGCTCCATTGTCATCTGCTAGTTTCATTCTTGATCTTGAGAGATCACCAGCCACTTTCACTGGTAGGGAAGGATCAGACTATAGTATAGTAATGCATGGTGTGTGCATAATAAAGGGAATGCATATGAGACATAATGCAGAAACTGATTATAAAAGTACATAGTAAATTAGTTTTACACAGTATAGTTCAATAAATGAGCATCTAAACTTTTGCCACTGTAAATACCATATATGCCATATATTTTGCGGGTATAAAATTTCACGATTTGGCTGCATTTTTGCATTTGAAAATAAAGATTTAGCAATTTTTATGCTTGCAGATTTTAATTTTGCAATTTTTTTTCAAAAACACAAAAATTGCAAAATTTAATCCCTGCAAAATATATGGTGTATACGGTAATTCATTCAGTAAATGCTCAAGACTTGTGTGTGGGTATGTTCAGTTCAGCACAAGCTTACTGGATCCATTCCTCTTATTTCATCCATGAATTCCTGCATCTTGTCCTCAAATCCAGGGGCAAAGCAATTGGAT